TTCTTTTCCTGTCTTTCTCCAGAATCATTCTTTTGAAATTTCTATCAAAATTCGAGAAATATTTTCCCTCCCCTGTTCTATACGGGTCACTATTCTCGGTGAGCTTCTTTTCTTATTTTCACCCCTCCAAGCTTATTAGAATATCACCCCTAATATTCATTTTTAATCCATCCTCTCGGTACGTGAGATTGCGACTTATCTCAGACTCTCCGTCTTGATATCCGTTACTTACCGTTTGCTGAAGGTGTTACTGGCAGTATCCCAATCCGGAGTTGGGGCTTCATTCGGTCAGGTTTACCTGTCGGTGCCCGTTGGCACTAGATCAAGTCCAAGTAGAACACCTGCTCATTGCCAGCTCATCTGTTTGTGGCTCCATACCAACGCCGAAGTTGAGTTTCCAGTTCAATCCAGTAGCCGCCTTTCCGTGAGCTTACCTTTTTTAATCCAGCAAAAAAGGCTTCCATTGGGTATCCTAGTCCCCGGATTTCCCCGCAAAATGAAATCAGGCTGAACCAAGCGGTAGCCTTCAAATTTGCGTTGTTCAAGATGCGCCAAATTGCCCCCTTTACTACTGCCCATTTTAGAGCTTTGTCTTCATAGGAGGAGAAGCTTTTCAGTGATTTGAATCTTCTCGGGCCCCCTTCCCAGATACTCTCAATATTCTTGAATCTATGCGTGAGGTAGATGATCGCCACCATCTCGGTTACGACCATATTTGTTTCCAAAAATGAGGTCACCCCATTACCCTTGTCTGTGCGTTCGAGTGTCAAGCCGTTGGGATAACATTCCAGTATGCTACCCAGCCTTCTTTCTACATTTTCCCACTCTCATTCTTCCCTACCATTGTACCATGTGCATAGAAAGATATCATCCATATAACGTTTTCCACATACCAGCCGCGTATCTGCACCCAGCGAGTTTACAAGCCTGTTCTCTGCATAGGCACATAGCACACAAGCAAGGATAGGGCTTGCTTTCCCTCCCATAGGAATGCCTTGAACCTGCCTCAATATCTCCCCATTTGTCAGAAACTTTATGTTTCCTAGCTGGAAATCGACAATTTTCATTAGCATACTGAGCCTAAGAGATTTTCACCCCTCTTCCCCGTGAGATTTCCCAAATGTGGCTTTCCTACCCTTTGTCTTAAGTCTCACCCATCTGATCCCTTTCTATGAAAAATTCTCCATCAGCCATTCTACGGCTTTCCTAATTTCCTAATGCGGAAGCCGAGTAAACATTTCTTTAATATCATAGGTGCGGACCAGGATACGACCGTCTATCCCGGCCAGATTGTCTGTTTTTCGGATGATTTTATCTATCTCCTCTTTCAGTTCCCCTGTGCTGGCCATATTAAAGTGTGGCACCTCTGCATTTTTTAGCAAAAGTTCAAGGCTTGTCCTAGCATCCCTAAGGCGTTCCTTGCAGGGCTTAGGAACGAGGGCACTATTGGGCGTCGTTTTCCCAAATCTTTGTCCTTGGCAATTACATAAGCCTCTTGCTATTTCCTTCTCGCATCCCACTTTGCCACCTTTCCCAGTCCTTTGCCTAGATACAGAGGTCGCCAAACCATTTTTTTCTCCCACCCACATCCGACCCAGTCCAAGCCTGGATATATCACATGTACCCGCACCCACTGCCACCCACGTAAATACAAAATTTTTTACCTAGACCCAGCCCACCCAAGCTAATTAATTTTTTTTTTACTCGTACCCAGCCCACCCAGCATCTTCAGTGGAACCCTTACCCCTACCCAGCCACACCCAGGCCTAGATTTAAGCCACCCGCATCCGCCCACACCCACGACCAATTTCCATCCACCCGTGCCCGACTGTATCCATGCCTAAAGTTTACCACCCAGCATGCCCTTCTTTTCTTCCGTAATTTCAAACTCTGGTCATTGTCATTGCATGTTAAAAATTCACCCGCTTTCAATACGCTTGCAGCGCCAAGAACGAACGACGAGACAAATGTGCTCTCTCTCTCTCTCTCTCTCTCTCTCTCTCTCTCTCTCTCTCTGCCCCCGCTTTCAATACGCTTGCAGCGCCAAGAACAAACGACGAGACAAATGTGCTCGAGGTTGCGCACACACAAACAAACAAGTGTGGCAGTGTATATTTTCATGTTCTAGCAGTAGATTCATTCCATTTCGCTCATCCTATCTGACCTCGAGGTTGGAGACTTACCTGTTCTCGTCTCTCTCTCTCTCTCTCTCTCTCTCTCTCTCTCTCTCTCTCTCTCTCTCGTGAAGCGCACGAAAGTCACCACGTTTGCAGGCTCGTCGCTGCACGTGCATAGGCATGCCCCATCAAGCTCGCCAATGTCGCCACGCTTTCGCGCCTGCCTTCACCATGCTCGGCGCTCGCCATCGTCACGCTTGCCTTCTCTACGCTTGCAGTGCTTGCCATGACGCTTGCACTATCGCGCGTGCTTGCATGCCGGGTTTCCTCGCTACGCTCGCTTGCAAGGACGCTTGCGCTTCATGGCACCGTACGGCGTTGGACTGTCGTTGCTGTGGTCGGAGAAGCCCAGCGCCCAGCCGCCAATCGAAGCTTCGAAGAAGTTTCGAAGTTCAACTTCAATTTTTTGGCGGCGTGATACTACGGAGGGTTACAGAGGCTAGGTATTCAGCCTATTAGGTGGCCTTGCTCCAGCACTCACTAACTCAGTAAAATGAGTATGAATATTCCACCAGGGCATGGAAAGATACACCCCCATTCTTTTTTGTTTTTTTGTGCATGCGGTGAGTAGTGGAGCGAGCTCATTCTTTTTTGTTTTTTTGTGCATGCAGTGAGTAGTTGAGTGAGGCTCTGAGCCTCGCTCCACTACTCACCGCATGCACAAAAAAACAAAAAACAATGGGGGTGTATCTTTCCATGTCCTGGCGGAAGATTCATACTCATTTTACTGATTTAGTGAGTGCTGGAGCAAGGCCCGTTGGTCAGCCACAGCTGCCACAGCGGTCAAAAAGAAAAAAACATCGGAGGAAAGGGCCCCTAATACCCCTATACCTACGACCTGGCAGTGAAAAATAGAGAAGCCAGACCAATTTAAAATTGTGGCCTGGTCCTAATTCTACGTACTACCTAGTACCTACCAGGCTACTACCTATAGGTCCTATACTAGTATATTACTATACGGGCCTATAGGCTTCGGGTCACCCAGGCCAAACCTCCACCGAACCGTACCCGCCCAGGCATTTTTTCAACACCCAGCCAGGCCCGGCCATGCCCCCTCGAAACTTTCCCAACCCACCCAAATTCCACCAGCACATTTTCACACCCAGCCGGACCAGCCCAATCGCCTTTCCGCCATACCCGCAACCGTCCAAAACTGTCGGTTACGGCTGGGTACGGTCGGGTCGGGTCACGGCCACCCGTTGGCGACCTCTGCCTAGATAGTTCTTCATATCCTCTAGTACTTCGTGTTCACTCATATTTACCCCCGCATAGTTGTTGTTCTCGTTGAACATCTCGCGTAGCCCAGCCCCATATTTGAACGGACATTCGACCAAGGTTTCTCCTCCGTTTCTGTCTAAGGGTGAGAAAACCAGTCCCCGCAGGCCTGCTTTCAACCCATAAACATATTCGGTGAGAACCGTGTCATCATCTTTCTCGTGTCGATGCCATTGTATCTGGTGCAGGCGAAGTCGGACTTCTTCATTGAGCCCGATGGCACCACACTTCTTTAGTTGTTGAATCGCCTGATTGCAGGCTGAATTTACCTCTTTCATGCTTGCCAGACCACCTGATACTGGGGCGTTCTTGGAGTTGTGTACGAAGCTAGGAATGCCCATGATCTTGCTCAGTCTGACTTGGACGTGCCCATCAACTCTGGGCAGTTCGAAGCTATTGCATGTGCAGATTTGTTTCTCCGTGCTTGCAAACTGCTTCTGATTGTGCCGGATGCCGGCGATCTTGAGGGCTTTAGCCCAGACCAATTTCATCCTCTGCACCATCAACTCACTGAATCCAACATGTGCTATCTTATCCCTTAGCCAACTCTTCATTTCTCTTCCCACATTCTTCTTGGTCACACCAGAGTTCCTTGATAATTTGATTACCACCCTCATTCTAGGATTTAACCCAAACTTTTTTTCCATGGTCTTAGTCATGATGCCTTTAACTATCTGCTTTCCTCTCCTCTCGGACAACATTTTAATAACGTGTTCCATCTCCAGCATCTCGTCCAAAGATTTTTTCATAAGATCCCTCCTCTTCCATGGTGCACGTAGTAATCCGATTACTTCGGCTTTAATAGTATCGACATTCGCTTTGGTTTTAACAATATCTAAGGGGTTCCAATCCCCACCCCCTTCTATGCACCCTTTGGCGTCTTTTAGAAGCAATTTCTTCCCGTCCTTAAACATCAAACTGTGGCCATAGATCAACCTCACCAGTTTTCATGCCTTCAACCACCTTCTTCCAGCGTTGTTCCTGATAATGACCTTCTTGGAACCGGACTTGTGCAGCGTCCTTATTAGTTTGAGCAGATCAGGCTCATTGCAGACATGCGCTGCATCGCAAGAAAATAACACTGGATCCGGAGATTGTTATAGAACTCGAAGATTATCTCCAATCCGTTTTCTGCTCCTTCGGTTCTTAAACCCTTTTTTCTTGCAGAGTTTACAATTCAATCCCAGATTATAACTTTTAACAACATCCTTTTCTATTTCTGCTATGGCCTCTGCTCCTCCGAACCAGATCGGACAGGCACAATACTTCTCCGCCCCAAATTTCTTCAACCAACCATACAATTTTTGTTTCCCATTGGTGCGACAAGCATACATGTGCTCTTTCCACCTAGTACTCAGATCTCGTTTGGTCATCCCACTGTACAATAATTTACAAAAAGGCGAGAAAATAACATACACACAAGAAGAAGGAAGACCGTTAAACATAGAATCTCATTCCTCTGGGTTGAATTTTTTTCAAAATTTTAGATAAGCCCTACCCCATTTCTAGTAGCCCACCAGACTTCCATAACGGACAATATAGCACTGTATCTGGTAACACAATTTATCATCAATAATCCCACTATCATCAAGTTTCCCCGTTCTCGTAAAAAGTCTAGGAATAACCCGCTTTGACAAACTCTTTAGTTTTTCCGAACATCGGTTCTATCTTCCTGTTCGTCATCTCCTTGCTCGGGAGGTTCGGTGACGGTAACCCTGTTGCATTCCATCTGCTTGAGTGATCTCATGTACTCTTCCAGGTCTAGCCTAGCAAGTTCCATAATACCGAGCTCTTTCCGGATGTAGGAGACTCCCCGTTCTAAGCACATTGTGCGTACGTGGGTGTAGTGCATGGATTTGTAGTTTTCTACTCGACTATGCATGTAAGCTGCCAGCCCCAACTCGTCTTGTTCCTCTTCGGACTCTTCCTCTCCCTCTCCACTGGCCACGGTGCTTGCCCCATTACCCGAAGTTTCGGCCGCCGCCTGCTTACCTTTTCCCTCTGCTGGCTCTGCCTTCGTGGAGACTACAGCAATCAGTTCCTTTAACAAACCCTTGATCTCATCCATCCCACTATCCTTCTTGTTCCCCTCCTGGTCGAACCTCACCTTTAAGTTAGTCCTTGTGGTAGTAGTGGAAACGGGGTTGGTTGCCATACCACCCTCTTCGTCATCGGAGATGCCAAAACCCCTCCTCGGTTGTCGGCTCTTGATTCTAATCACCGACTTCATTCTCACCTTATCAGGGGTAGCTCCACCCCTCTTACGTTTGTCATTGCTGGCGAGCTCCTTCCTTTCTCTGAGTTCTTTCTCAGCCCTGAGGCGCCTCAACTCTTCCAGCTCAGCCTCTTCGAGCTTGGATTTACGGTCCACGTTATCGAGTTTGTCGAAAAGAATCTTGAAAGAGCACCCGAACATCGACGTCACCCATCTTTTCATTTCTTCCTCCTTCTCGTCGACTGTTTGCTTACTCTTCTTGCTTTCTTCCTTCTTCTTTGTCGCCTCCGTCGTAACATCCGTAACTCCCACCGGCTGCTTCTTCGTGGTTTCCTGAACTGCTTCCTTAAACTTGCTTCGGTCTAGTAGATCCGCGTAGTCTCGCGTGAAGAATGCTCGATTCATATTGAATCCTCGTCCGTAGCCATTCCCGTTGGGGAAATTTCCATACAGGAAATTTTCGTCGCTGCTCCCGATCAGAGGTGGCGGCGCACCAAGCGCTGCGTGCCATCTCGTCTACTGCGGATTCCAATATTGTGGTTGGTAGTATCCACCATACTGGTAGGGAGGTGGTGGAGGTGGAGGAGCTGTCCTCTGCCCCTTCCTCTTCCTCGCCCGTTCATAAAACGCGGTTTCCCTTCCTCTTGTCGGAGATGATCTCGAATTTCACCGAGAACTTTAGTGTCAGCCTCGCGAGCTTCCTCCAGAAGGTGATGGCCGCACTCAACAAAACTTTGATCCTAAACCGCATCTCAATAAATAAATGCGAGATAAGCGAGATAAGCGAGATAAGTATTACACAAGTGAATAAGCGAGATAAGCGAGATAAGCGAGATTAAGCGAGATATTACACAGGTGAAAGCGCATGGGTGAGAAGCCCACGACACTAGCGGATCGTTCCTAGGCTCAAGTGCAAGGTCGATCAACTAGTTAATCGTGAATGATAACACAAGTTTGCATAAAACCATTGGGCGTTACTGTCGCAGTACATGATTTTACGCTCCTCCACACATCAACACCTCGTGCACACAACCCTTCTGCCCAATACTACTCAGGTCGTGAAGCGCCTCGCGCTCGTCTCTAACTTTATACCTATCTCGCTGTTTTCTTTTACCCGTCTTTCTCCAAAATCATTCTTTTTAAATTTCTATCAAAATTCGAGAAATATTTTCCCTCCCTTGTTCTATCCGGGTCACTATTCCCGGTGAGCTTCTTTTCTTAATATCACCCTTCCAAGTTTAGAATATCACCCCTGATATTTGTTTTTCATCCATTCTCTCGGTACGTGAGATTGTGGCTTATCTCAGACTCTCCATCTTGATATCCGTTACTTACCGTTTGCTGAAGGTGTTACTGGCAGTATCCCAATCCGGAGTTGGGGCTTCATTCGGTCAGGTTTACCTGTCGGTACCCGTTGGAACTGGATCTAGTCCAAGCAGAACACCTGCTCATTGCCATCTCATCTATATGTGGCTCCATACCAACGTCGAATTTGAGTTTCCAGTTCAATCCAGTACCCGCCTTTCCGCGAGCTTACCTTTTTTGATCCAGCAAAAAAGGTTTCTATTGGGTATCCCAGTTCCCGAATTTCCCTGCAAAATGAAATCAGGCTGAACCAAGCGGTAACCTTCGAATTTGTGTTGTTCCAGATGCGCCAACTGAAGAACTTCAGGAAAGAACCACTACAGGTGGGGGAAATGGTCCTAGTTAGAAATTCGACATTAAAAAACACTTGATCGGGACAGTTGGGTAGAAGGTTCAAGATCCTCTACCGGGTCACCAAGAGACTGGGGATGAACACTTTTAAATTGGAAGATTTGGATGGAACCAGGCTGAAAGGGTCATGTCCAGGACAACGGCTGGTCAGACTTTTAAGTTGAGATCCAGTGGAATAGTGGTTGCAAGAGGTTCAGGACAAGGAAGTTGGGAAACAGGCCGGTTAAGGCGCCTGCAAAGATCTTATGTGTAACGTGTTGGTTTTTCAAGGGGATGGTCTTTTTTTTTTTACTTCGCTTATTGGGAGCGGATTGCGTGGGATGAGTGATGTGGTTGGGGCATTGTACCATAGTTTTTTTATGGGGGATGATATTGGGTGGATGCCTGGGGCATTGTACCATAATTTTTGTGAGGGATGGTATCGGAATGGTTGTTTGGGGCAATGCATCATAACTTTTGAAAATGATGGATAAGATTCCAGTGGGAAGCACGGGACGACTCATTTCATGGACGTGCATGAATGAAAACTGGGCAAAGGGTTGCATCCTTGGAAATTATGGCAACTCCAGCATCATAAGGAAACAAGATTTTTTGCTTTCGTTACTGCTTGGACGGAACTCGACCTTTGAAATGTGGACTGGGGGTTCCAGTTTCCTTGTGATGGTAGGCACAGAGAAAACCTCAAGACAAGATGAAAATCAATAATGAGAATGATGTCAATCGCGCCAACTTGCCCTTTGAAGACAAATGGCAGAGGACCGAGAGGCTACAAGACAGATAAAGACCGGTATTGTTTATTGGACCACAATCAAGACGGATGCTAGGGACGAGAAAAAGAAAGTTGTTGGCCAGCAAGCCCTCGCCCCTTAAGGAAGGCGAAAAATTGCAGCCTCTGTCCGAAGAAGAAAGGGAGGAGCAAGGAATGGAGAAAAGGAGGGATGAAGAAAGACAAAGTGTGCGTGACAGTGGTGAGAGAGGTAATGAAGAAAGACAAAATGTGCATGACAGTTGTGAGAGAACGGAGGAGGAGAGACAAAGTATACATGACATTGATGAGAGAGAGGTCAAAGGAAGACAAAGTATGCAAGGCAGTTGTGAAAGAAGAGATGGGGAAAGAGAAAGTGTGCATCACGATTGTGAGAGAATTGAGGATGACGACCGAAGCGGCACGACAGCTGTGTGAAAGGGTATGCGGAGTTCGAAGATGGATAAGGAAGAAGAATGAAGATCCCTTTTAATCTGAGCCCGGAAAACTTCACCAGTGAATTCAGCTCTGTACGAGAAGACGAGAACGAGAGTGAAGATGAGGTGTAGAAGGTTATTGCAATTAGTAGTGGGGATGAGATGAACGAAATTACAAGGACTAGAGAAGAAGGGCAATCTTCAACAAGTAGGTCAAAGGAAGGAACCTCCAAGTGAGAGGAAGAGTTTAAACCGACACCCAATGATTGGTTTGAACAACGGGTCAATGTAATCAAGCATGATTGGATCACTAAAACTAGGAGATTGATGAGGGTCGGGAAGTCGGTTACGCCCCTCGACTTCTATAGTGAGGAGGAACTACAAGAAATTGCAAGGAGAAAAAAAAAAATCTTGGTTGTCGGTCTGGGAGCCGAGGGGCCAGCAAAACGCAATGACGAACGGGCATGCAAGCGGCAAAAGACTGATGACAATGGAAGAGATTAGGCTTGGGGTGCATTTTGACAAAATTTGTGTTTAAAGTAAGTAAAGCTTGACCAGTATGGAGGAGATTACTTGCAAGGACTAGTTAGGATTCAGCTTGGATGATAAATGAAACAGTTTTATGAGCTACTTTTGAATGTGTAACCTTGAAAGAATTAATTGTGAAAGGGCATTGGCAAGGGACATGAGTTCAGAATTAGTTGGGACGGTTGGGTTGTGAACGTTGGACGAGACAAAGATTGCATTTTGGAATGGAAACTATGAATTTGGATTGATTGAGCAAGAAAAGGCATTGAGTATCAGTTGAGTACAAGAGAGGTTAGAGAACCTATGGGTAGAGCGGGATGAGGATGTCCTCCCCTAGGAGCCTAATCCAACCAAGTTTAAGTCATGTCACAAAGAGACGAGATTGTGCTGAGTGAGCAAGAGTGAAAAAGACAAGAGAGCCCCACGTTATGAGCTATGGTTGAACGATCGGGTGGGTTAGCGCTGCCGGAGGAAGAAAGTCGTCGTCTAAGCGCTAGACATTAAGTCGGATGTATGCATGAGGACACTGGAACCAGCAAGTTGCATTGAGGAAAGAATGAAAGATATTGCATGCTGAAAACTAAAAAGATGGTCACTTTTCTAACCCCCCTAGTAAAAGATGGGATCTGTGTCCTCGAAGCCCACCCCCTCGGACGCTAGCATTGAGAATGGAAAGGAATGACCCTAACTAGACTGTTCGAATTGAAAATGGGAAGGAATGACCATAACTAGGCTGTTCGAATTGAGAATGGAAAAAAAAGACCCTAACCAGGCTGTTCAACTTGAGAATGGAAAGGAATGACCCTGACGAGGCTGTTCGACTCGACTTGAGAATGAAAAAAAATGACCCTAAGTAGGTTATTCGACTTGGAATAACAAAATGGTCCCTTATAAGGGTCTTTTTTTTTTAATGGGCACTGGATCCCCTTGCATGACGTCTTGAAAAAGACTGATTGAGAATGAAATGGAATGAGTAATGTGGATGGAAAAGGCCGGTGGAACGGTCATTGAAATAGCCATGAGAAAGGTTGAAAGAGATGGAATGTGAATGAAAAAGACCGGTGGGACGGTCATTGAAATAGCCATGAGAAAGGTTGAAAGAGAAGGATGAGGATGAAAAAGGCCGGTGGGACGGTCATTGAAAAAGTCATGAGAAAGGTTGAAAGAGAAGGATGAGAATGGAAAAGGCCGACGGGATGGTCATTGAAGTAGTTAAAAGAGAAGGATGAGAATGGAAAAGGCCGATGTGTTGGTCATTAAAAAAACTTAAAAAAAAAGAAGGATTGAGAACGGAAGGATCGACGGGTTGTACGAAAGAGGCAGGCGTCAGAATGAGAAAGATGAATGGTTGGGAAGACCGATGGGTCCGCCATGAGAAATGACTTGTGAGAAAAGATGGAGGATTGAGGATGAATCGATGGGTCGATCATGAGAAGTGGCCTTAATGAAAAGATGCTACCAGATCAGCCATGAGAATCAGCCTTGAGAAAAAGTTGGAAAAAACATTGGATTGAACGTTTGCCCGATAATTGAAAATTTCATTGCATAAACAGGGAACCCTAGGCAAATTGAAAAGAGGTCGCCGGATCGATCATGAAAATAGTAAGAGATTGAGCCTTCCTCCTTCTTCTAGTCTCAGGCCTCAGCATGAGCGGGATATTGGTGTCTGCACATGACTCTGGGACCTCTACCCCATAGGGAAATGTCCAAGCGCGACCTGTTCCTCATAAGTAGGACATCAGGTTAAAGGGTCAAGGTATCGGATACGATAGTCGACATCCGAAACCAGCTCCGGCAACGAGCTTTAGCGGGAGGGTTCAAATTGTTCCTCGCGCTGAGTTCCTAAATGTCTAGGGCGCCAAGATGGGCCGATGGTTTGCTCTTCTAAGTCTTGATGACCCTCACCAACCACATGCCACGTCATTGAGGGGCGGCCTAGCCGTTTGGGAATAACATAGACTGCTCGCGTTAAGTCAAGCGGCATCGTCCACAGGAAGGTCGGAGCGAGGTACCGGGTGGAGGCCGCCACCAGCACAGGGCATTGACACCGCCCTACCGAAACATTACAACCGT